AAATAGCCTATCGTCCCTTCACGTTTTTGCAAATTCACCAGTATATTCGGAAAGGGTAAAGGCCTCAGCTTTGAGCTGTTACTCGTCATAATTTATTTAGCATATGAAAGCATTTGAGAGCCATGCTTTTCAGGGAACATTTTTTCTCTGATGTTCTTCAACACTTTCACAATAACAATGATATAGCTCACAAATTATTTTTCACCTCTCCGCCACTGCCTCTTCCACCGCCTTCCTCGGTATTCGTATATATTCACTCCTAACCTGTATGTATGAATAATGATTACCTAATTTTCGTGACCACAAATCCGTTATCTCTTTGCGTTTGGAACTAATAATATTTATTTTTTAGTTTTGCACAGATAGTATCTACGGACTGGAAATGCCCCCCCCCCAATCACACTCTGGATAAATTTATTTATTACTTCATCCCTCCAATATGGGAAAGGGGATGGGGTCCAATCCTCATGTATGTGACAGTTGAACAATAAGGCAATCTGAATGGTGAAAGTTTGAATTTTGCTATACGCGATTCTCATGTTGGCAATTTTGCCAGTGGATTGTGACGTAGTTAAGGACAACTGTCCCGTATGTCGTGTACACAATTTTCTTTCTTATCTTTTTCTCCCATTTGCCCTCTCCCTGGGGGCACTACTAAAAATGCATCATAGAAAAGAAAAAGTTCCTCTGAGTACTTCATTTTTTTAAGAAGTTTTCATATTTTTTTAGTGTTTGAACAAATGGGAAATGTGTCCACCACTGCATCACAGTCACATAACCGGTGCAGCCAATTTGAATTTTCCTTAAGTGTAGTGATTACAACTCTCAAAAATGCATAGCTGTGATATCTTAGGGCGTGTTCATGCTTCACTTTTTCTGGCCAGAATCAGGCATCTGTTACGCGTTTAGTTTAAAACACGGTTGCGTCCATGCTTACTTTTGTAGAATCACCGAAAAACGGTGATCACGATCGCCGATCGTAAACTCACAAAAAGATGCGTTTACAATTTGTAAACGCGTTTAAATGGGGTCAACGCACTGAACTCTAGTGGGTCTACGTAGCATGCACTGTGAAGGTTTGCGAATCCAGCTGGAAGACCAATTAAGGCCACACAAGGAGAATTGCCTGGATGAGCCAGAGAAGTAAGCATGAATAGTACACCGTGGAACTGCGATCACGATGAGCGTTTACGATGAGCGTTTCAGATCGCTCATTCTACCTTCAAAATCAAGCATGAACGCGCCCTTAGAGACGATAAGAAATGCACCAGTTACACGTTGTCTCCTGGGTATCGACTAAACAGTTTGTCATGTTATTACTAAAGCAGTCACAAGGTGGCGCTAGAACAACTCACCCCTTCATAATGAAAGAGTCATCTATTTTTCGGATATCTGTGATAACATTCATTTTTGCTTTTAACACAATTTCCGGAATCGTGATCCAGATTGATAAATTGCCATAACCTGATAACTCAACGTTTATGTGTACACATATCACATATGTAAGTTTTAACTGTCGTAGAGTTGTAATTTAAAAAAATGTTTACTAATTAAATGATATCTTTATGTCTGTGTAATTCTTCATCCATTCCCCTGATTGGGACACAAACACATTTGCATTTATGACAATTGTTGTCCTTTAAACACTGCTGTAAAAAGAACCATATTTTGTTCCAAGCCTTGCCATTTTTTGTTTTGGTTGTTGTTATTGTTCTTGAACTGCATAACAAAAATTCATATAATATATTTCAGTCGTTGAGTGAGTAGGATGTGTACTATATTTGTGTAAATAACAAATGAAGCATTTTTCTTTTTCTATAGGGCAATTTCCATACATGAAACAAGTGTCATTTTGTAGACCTGTGTATTCATTAATGCGTAATACATGGTTTATATCAGGCACCCAATTATCAGTAGATTATAAAAAGCGCGGATGTGTCAACCGACGTGCATTCATGACCTGCCGTCTTGATTTATGGCATGTATGGCCCCATGTAATCACTTTGATGTTGGGTTGTAATAACTCGTCGCTGTTTTCACGAAGTGACGGTAGTGAAAAAAAATTGCATTCACTTTGCGTTACGATTTTCCTCACTACCGTCACTTCGTGAAAACAAGGACTGATAGGTGTCATTATCCCCAGACAGATTTGTATATGATGCCAGTTCACGATAGAATCATGATAATCACGCCGTTTCCATAATAGAGGTATCGTCCAGCACCATGGCTGAATGGTATTACCATTGCTCTTCTAGGGTAGAAGAATGATTTAGTATTAAAATGTGGTACTGATGATATCTAAGGGATCACTTGTCATGCGTTATCTGAGGGATAGCGTTGAATCCATTATAGTGGAATCCACTCCAATGCATTACTTTTCTTGACAATGTGTTCCACCATTTGGTGGTGGATTTCCTTTCTAAATGGAAGTTATGGCTAATACAATTACAAGAAGAGTGGATTGTTAGTATTGTATTCTTTGACTTTGCATTTCTTTCTTTTATAAAAATTCAATTTATTTTTATAAATTCAATTCAACTCAATTTCCACTCCAGATTAGAGAGTAACTTTGCCTGCTGGACTTGTATTCCCCTCAGTTACCGCTAGTGTTGATTTCAGCTACACATCCATGACAACAAAAGTTATTCTTCATTCTTACAATCGTCTCTCAAACAAATTGAACACATACATACATGTTTGAGAAACAAAACATTTAATCATCTGCGAGTATTCGTATTTTTGATAAAATATACAGGCGTGTAAACGTATTTACAATGTGGTTATTCAAAACAGTAAACAAAAACAAGAAAAGAACTTGTATGCATTCCTAAACTCTTCAGGGGTGTATTTTATAATAATTATCGTCATAATCCACAATAAAGTTATCACAATTATATCAATTATATATATATTGTTCATCCTACTGTTTGCACTGCGTATTAAACTGTCCATTATACTGTTTTAAACTTGAAGAAGGAAGTTGCCTTCCGAAAATATGTGTACTTGTCATACTTGAATAATAAATCTGTGTACTCGTCATACTTGAATAATAAACAGTTTGATAGTATTATCATAAAACTCGCAAGAAATGTATTGTTCACTACACTACTATAGATTCATATTAAATATACATGCGTTAATAATATTATACAAATAATGAATGGTTATGAGTTCAATAGTGCGAATATTTTCATGAGTTGAAAGATTAACATTCTATTCAACGAGGCGTCAGCCGAGTTGAATAGAATTAATGTTAATCTTTCAACGAATGAAAATATTCGCACCATTGAACGAATGAATAACATTCATTATTTGTTTTATACAACATCGAAGAAGATCTAATAGAACGTTAATCAACAAAATATGCTTTACTCCTTATAAAAGATAAATTAAAGTTGGATTCAAGCCTTCTCGATTACATTCAGATTGCCTTCGCGTCAGATACACGCAGGGATACGCGCGCGCACGGCAGAGAGGTACGCAGTCTGCATATAACCAAAAATGCACGGCGCATATAACCAAAAATGCACGACCGTGCAATATACCATCTATTGAATATCATGTGACCAACAATCCTCCAATCAAATGACAGGGATCCACGTAGGTGTTGTATAAACACCTATATTACATGTATATACACTATAACTAGCAATCATGACTTGTGTATAATTATATACATCTGCGGGTATTCGTATTTTTTTATAAAATATACAGGCGTGTAAACGTATTTACAATGCAGTTATTCGAAATATTAAAACACGAAAAAGGAACTTGTACGCATTCCCAAACTCTTCAAGGGTATATTTCATAATTAGTATAGTCGCAATCCACAATAAAGTTATCCCAATCATATCAATTACATTATGTACTGTTCATCATACTGTTTGTACTGCTTATTAAACTGTCCAATGTACACCTATATTTACAAACAAACATGGTTTGTGTCTAATATACATCATTACGGCAACAAGTATTGCTGAATTATTTAAGGTTTAATAGTGATTTTGAGTACTGTCAGTGAGTTCCATACTTTATAGAAATATGGGAATACGATGAATGGTCCAAAAAAACAAATATGCATGATTAATTATAATATAAGGCAAACAGTACATTATTTCCGTTGGAGGAGTATCTTACTTTACAAGGACTAAACAAAGGTAGACAAAACAACTGAAACATTGCACTAAAAGAATCATTAATCTCTCTAAGTAAATGAGACATTTCATTGCCACTGCTACAACGATTTATTGTTGATTCTATTATATATTGTTACACAATCGAAGATATAATAGTTGTGCTCGAACATTCCTAGTGTTAGAATCACACATATTCATTACCTCAATAGACATTTCCCAAAAGGTTTTCTTAAAATGTAGTTATATTACAGTATTTTGATCGAAGCTTTGATGAATTTTAAAACTTGTATAAGTTATGAAACAATTCCAATAGAACTTGAGAAGAGGATATTAGCGAAATTCAATATATAAAAAACGTTCAATTTCTGGTCTGACATTATGTAAAATACGAGTGTAAAATAATCTTAACTGCATTAATCATGGTATTTAACGTTATTTTACAAAGTAATAACAACGAAAACAGACATAATAAACCTTATCATTTTGGCTTCATCGGAGAAAATATAAGCGGAAGCTAAATTAGGAACAAGCGCGTGTTCATTGTTGCGATTTACTCCGATGGGGGCAAGACAACATGTCGGTTTTCGATTCTATTGATTCGATTTGTGCAGTAACAATTATTTAAATATAGTGACGTATATCCACTTGACCGGGTGTGCGTAGTCCCCCCCCCCCCCCCCCCCCCCATTCCGGGAACGGAGAGACCGCATGCGTGTTCCCAAAATCTCCGGCTCGTAACACAGAAAAAGATCTGCCCGTATTGACTTTACACACCGGACTTACGCTAAAAAGGGGGGGGGGGGTGGGAACCCGCATATGCGTACCCTAAATAACACTGAGTAGGGGGGGGGGGGGAGCGGGGCGAAGTCATCAGTGTAAGTTATGTAAGACATGATGTATGAGGTCCTCCAACGATCAAAGTGATGTCCTGATGTATGTCAGGTATCAAGTAATAGTACATGTCAGCTTGGCCGGTAGTGTGTATTCACTCAAAGCGGGGCCGGCGAACTCAACCAATGTGAGAAATGAGATAACGTTTTTCACCCAGTACATAATCCTGAAGAAGAATAAGATCAACAAACAAAACAGGCATAAACCATGACAAAATCGTGTTGAAAAGAAAGAAAACAATGCTAACAAATACAATTATATTAACAAATTAGCGACTTGATATTTATATGTTCTTACTTCATTCGGATATTTGGAAATGAACACATATCTAATGTTCTATTATAAACTTGTTTTATAGGGAAACACAGGGCCTTATTCCAGTAGCATCGCATGGGACTAAGTAATGATAAAAAAACACAAATAAGAAAATGAAAGAATGTTCAACAAAATAAAATCAAGGGTATCGGCTCATGTAATAGCGAAAGCAGGAAAAAAAAATTATGAAGACCAAAATAATGAAGTGATTAAAGAAATATATTTCTCAATTGCATGCGAGAAATAAAGATAATAAATCAAACTAAAAATCATAGCCTCGAAAACAAAGAAAGAAATATTTTAAATGATAACAAATATATTGCAGCGCAAATTCAACCAGAAGGAACAATAATCAAAAGAAAAATTATGTTATTTAGCAACGTTTCGATGTTATGTTGATCATTTGGTGTGTAGGAAATGGGAGCACAATAAACAACAATTAAGATTTAAGACAGAGGCCCAGGCCTATTCAAAAGAGCTGAATACGTGAATTAAAATTTAAAGACAAAGTTTTAAAAAAATTCAGTAACAGAAAGGAAACGTTAACCAAGAAAAGGGGCCGAACAATGGAAATCAATTGTTAATGAAATACTGAAAACGATAATACAGAACAACTTTAGCGTCATAGTTGTTATAAACATTAACAATCAAAATAGTGAAAGTGTACAGTGCACACAAGGTGGAGCGATACTTACATGATAAACATACACAGAGAGGTTGCCACTTAATGATTGAAGACCTTCGAGATCAGATTCCAGTCTGCCGCCCTCACTAGTTCCACAGTTGTCTAACCTATGTTCAGAAAACAGAGTGATGGAGGTAAGGTCCGTTGGGTGTTCACACAATTCCCTGCGAAAATAAGTCGTTTCCTCAGCCTTTACATTTTCTAAACATTGAAAATGCGCAAACTCTTGTCGTAGACTTGGAGCTGACGATGGGTGGGGGGGGGGGGTGTCTGACACCTCTTGAAACTGCCACTGTTGACATGATGTATATTTAGACGATGGACCCGACCACAACAAAAAGGTAAAATGCAATGCATTCGGTGGTACACCATGGTTTAGCTCTAATTTAGAACTTTTACAAGTAGACTAAAATTCTCATGATTGTGCTTAAGAAATAATGATACGTATGATGATTAGTAACTATGATAGTGACAACTGATGATAATAATAATCGTAACAACAGTGATAACAAAAGTTAGTGATAATCATAATTATACTGATAATGGTGATGGCGATGATGATGATGATGATGATAATGGTAATACAATAGTAGTTCAAATAGTACAAGCGATGATGATGGTGATAATACTGATTAACAAGGACGATCATTCTAATTAATTCAATATCAATATAACACTATATTAAAGAATAGCCAACTGGATTTAAAATACGTTAGCTTCTGACGGATCATAATAATAATATATGCAATTGAAAATTGAAATCTAGCCATTTTAATGAATTTAGATTCTATTCATTGCGATTGCACATTGACAACTGTAAAATAACAATTACGAAAAAAATATGCAAAACCAATCCTAAAGTTCAGTCAAAATCTGGAGGCTTCACCAACGTCTTAACTTTTTCATCCCTTCATGCATTCGTATCATTATGCTTTACCACTACAGACTAACTGAATAGAAACTTCTAATAGGATGTATATAAGATTTGAACAAGAACCTACCACACAGTTGATATCGTCTTCACATGTCTGCAGCACTCAATGAAGTAAACCAAGTCTTCTTCGTCTGTGCACTTCACCCAGGTCAGACGCAGCCGCTGCAGGTAATTGAAATTTTCTCTGATCAGAAGACCCAGTCCTCTCATCGTCTCTCTCGATACACTCTTCTTCCCTGATGGGAACGTTGGCGGTGCTCTAAGCTCGATGCGTGTGAGCCGCTGTTCTCCGGTCCGACGAAGACAAGCCGTGATCTGCGGTATGTCTCTCTCCGCATCATCGATAGTGATATCGATATCTCTCAAGCCAGGAAGCGATGAGAGCAGACCTTCGTAGCTGTGTGACGTCACTCTCTTAGCTGATAGCTTTGTGATGGACGAGAGCTCAGGAGGAGATGGAGGGAAACTGAGAGAGGAGTCTGAGATGGTGAGATGGTTCAGTGAGGTGAAGGATCTGAGACAAGACCACATTCTGGCAGTTATATCAGTAGATAGCCGACAATTTGTTACCTGCAGGACGTATAACGAAATACAGAGAAACGTGATTTTTACTTCCACGTTAATGCTTTTATGCGAAACCGGGTACACGGTGAGACCCCCCCCCCCTCTCTCTCTCTCTCTCTCTCTTGTTGGATTAAAGCTTCACGGTGGACATTAAAGATACTATGTCCCTTTTGCAGCCAACCTCAAATTCTGTAGAACTTTGCAGGAATTATGAATATGTCATGTATGTCCTATCTGTGAAATGTAAACGTTAGCAGTGTCCTAATATTCAAATTATGCAAGGAAACCTGTTTACTTGCTAAACTTCACTGTCAGACACTATTGTCAGTATTGAGTGACTGACTGGCTCTTTCTTCTTCTTTGGTAATAACATACCTAAACTGAGCTGTAAAGGATTTTTCTACATCAATAACCCACCTCTTGTAATGGTCAAAATTAAACTGATTGAATCTTTGCGCAGCATAAAACGTACGACCATGCGGTACAATGGTCTGAAAATCAAGACTATTACTTATTGGCTCTATAGCTCCTAAGTCGATTTGACAACTAATATTCGTTATTTTCCCACTTAAAGACATTTTCAAGTCCCATTTTTTTAAGGGGAGTTCTAAATTAATATTATCTTTCAAATGCCATTGGAATTTAACCTTTTCATTTTGTTTGGCCTGCAAAAGGGAGAAAATACCTTTAAATGGGTAGTTAAGTTCTGTTGCAGAGGGCGCTACACAAAATATTTTTTTGTGAGATAATGAAAAACTGAATGTCAAATTTGAAAGAACATAATATTTAAAAGACAAAATCATCTTTGTTTGATCAAAATCGGTTCAGAGACGCCTGAAATATAACGATTTCTAATACTTGTGTATACCACCACAAATATTAGATATTTTGATAATTTTGAAAAAACCGTTGAAAAAAACGAAATAACGCCTTTTACGTCGGATTTATGGCAATGCCGATGTTGGCTTTTTTGTTGGCATTTTCGTGTTGCTTATATTACCCACAATTAGCCGGCTCATTTATTGTTATTTTTAATTGAATAATTAATTAACGGTCACCGTGTTTTTTAAAGTGGAGCTGAACTGGTATGATCGTATTGGCTAAATTTCACACATTTTGGGGTCTAAAATAACCTTCATAGCCATTTTAGGTTCTAAAAGGGCACTATAAATGTCATAGGTAAGAATAAGAGCAATAACCATGCAAAACAGAACGCAACCATTCCTTTAAGTTAATAATAATAATTACAGTATACATAATTGACTGTAGGGCGCGGAGCCATCTAGGGAATATGATAACGACGGAAAATATAACTCAGTTGTGACTTTTTTTAAAGAGTATTCTTTTAATCCAGTTAGTATAATATAAAGCCTTGATTGCACTACGTTAACAGAAATTAATGTGGTTGGTTGTGCTAAGTTATGAACGCATTTATATATCATCATAACGCGACTTAACTCAAACCGTTTGTCTAGTGTCATTCTATTAAGACTTGTGAACAAATCAGCCGACGGTGTGTCATATGTCTTGTTCAATATTATTCTTGCGGCCCTCTTTTGAATTTGTTTGCAGCTTAATTGTATGAGAATGAATTTTTTTCGACCATACAACAGAGCAGTAATCTAATCGTGGCAACACTAGCCTGTTATAAAGTAACTTTAAGGATTTTTGAGGCAAAAAAACTCCTTGCTCTCCGTATCATGCTAATGTTTTTCTGGGTAAGTTTAATTACGTTTTCGATTTGTTTAGACCATTTCAATTCTTCATCTATCAAAAGTCCTAAGCATTTTATTGAATTGAACTCTTTTGATCAAATTGCCATTTAATGAAATGGTGAAAGATTCAATTTTCCTGAGAGTAGCACGAGAGCCTATTAACATGACACAAGTTTTTCAGTGTTAAGAACGAGACGATTTTCCTTAATCCATGCCATGACTCTTTTTAATGCAACAGTTAATTTTTCTTCCTCAGCCGTTGCATCATTTGCACTGACGGTGAGTGTCGTATCGTCAGCATACATTTTTATGATACCTTCAGGAGTACATTCAGGTAAACTATTACATATATTGAAAATAAAAGAGGTAAGGAACAAACTTCTAGCAATGCATTTACTAAGTATAAGAGTTCAAATATACATTATATACAGATGTGTTGTCACTTTTGTCCGACAACCAATAATTTACCTAAGTGATACTAGCTTAAAGTATATGTATAGTAGATGCAGTATTATGCTAAAGAGTTCTAGGGACAGGTTTAAAATGTAACAAAAATAGATTACTAGCAACCATATTGCTCCGATTGTCTCATTTTCGCTCGCTGGATCACTGCAGCACAAACATAGCTCGTTCGACGTCACTACCAAACTAGCCAATCAGCTGTCAATGACGTCATATTGAATGCGGCGGCAAATATATTTTGTGAAATTATCGAGAAATGGACTATTTCTAATTGCAAACTAGTTTTATTTTTGGATGGAAACGCAGCCATTATTATCTTGACATTCATTGAAGTCATCAGAATGAGGTAAGTTACGTCTCAGATGATTCAAGAGGTCTATTTTGTAGATAAATTCTCAATTTCTTAGAATGTTCCACTGTGTTGCAGGGTACCGGGTGTATGCCATTGGGTGTGATGTATTCGCGCGGAATGGCGCGAATTATACATTCATCTTCTTCTTCGCTATAAGTTAAAGGCCACCGCGCCGTCGGGTGTTAACATTCCTTTCCTTCTCAATACAATAACTTTCACCTGCCTAAGTTATTTAAACCATACCGCCCCGCGGAATCGTGGCGTCTTGCCACTTCCATTATGTAATCATTAAAAGGATCCGCATATACAACATTTTCCTGCTATACGTTGTACCGCAGGAAAACACAAATCTCCCTGGTATACCTTACAGTCCAAACGATAAATATGTGCCTTAAACGAAGCAGGCGACAATCGGCGTAGCAGACGACACTTGATAGTAATTTGTATGTGAGATTGCTTTGCTAAATATTAATTACTTTGTTAATAAATATCAACCAAAATTTCTTTTACATATCTTTAAACCATCATTGATATTCAATAATTCATGAGTGAGTAAAAGAAACATACCAAACTATATAATGATATGTATTACTTGGTGGCAATTAGGGGAGTTTGACGTAATGACTGATTGCACCCATCTGTTAATAACCGAATAGTCCATGGTGTGTCATGAATATTCATGTTTTTGCTTACCTCGGCTAAATGTTTGCTTTTACTAAATGGAAAAATGACGGTGGGGGGTTGGATGAAATGGACATATAGAACCAAGCAGAAGTGATCTATGATAATTCATGCTTCTTATCCTTCGTGTGCTTGACCTATAATCTTAAAATCGCTTGGCAAACTGAGTCCAAAGCTCGACTTGTTTCACATGTGTATTATAGGCAATGACGAGCTTGCAACCTATTTTGATCAAATTACGGTGGGTGAACTTTCAAAAGTCAATGGGACATGAGGATTCCAATGAAAGAGCTAGTGATAATGTACGTCGGGGTGGATGTGCTTTTCGTTTAAACAAAAAATGAATCTTTAACGATTTTTTTGTGTACAATTCCGTAGGCTAACATGTATGGCTGCTGACTCTGACGATAGGGGGCGTTGTGAAATGAGACTAAACGGAGCTATATGTGAATTCTACTCCAAAGTGTACCTTTTCTTTCCTACTAAAACATGAGAAGTAATTCTATTCTGGGCTAAACACAACATAGCCGCTTCAACTTATACGGTCAATCTAGGCTGACCAGCAGCCATCCAATAATCACTCCATTCCAAGTTCGAGTCCAAATGCTCAACTGCCTATCTTCTTATTGCCTATAGCATAATCAACATAATTATACTATTCTTAGTCACCGCTCAACGGGAGTTTTCCTCACGGGTCTATCCACCCCTAGTCTCGACATGGTAGCTCGCTTTGTCGGCTATATCCATGCGACTTTTAATCCTTAGATCTCTACGACAGGATAGCCTCGAATTTCCAACTTCCAGAATTAACTAATCAGTTTTAAACGTACTTCAATCCTAAGACAACCGGTTTGTCTAAGCATTCATCCCTTGCTGTCTGTAATTCAGTGCTTAAACCTACAATAGACAGTTCACTATCGATAATTGTCACAACTTGTTATTAACTGTAATAAACTATAAAGTAATGTATATTCAATGTTTGTATTTGTACACATTCTAAGTGTCAGAGAGAGATGGTGAGAGTGTGATTCACAACATATTTAGATTACTTATATAGGCCTAATTATATTTACATATACACCGTTGGTCATAATGGTGGAAGAATTATTTTTACCCAAATGTATGGAATGATTTTGACAATGATTTATTCCTAATAGATCTAGATAGTAGTATAAATTTTCAGATTTAATTGAATAATAATTTGTGAGTGTTTGTTTTGCGTGACTGCTAAAGCATGTGTATGCTACTATGCTAATCGACTAGAGGACACACGTCCTAAAGTGATGACTTACAGTAATAAGGATTAATGCTTCATAAAAGGGCGTTAATATAGCACATCGACACGGTTTTGATCCTGGGGGCTCACAGTAACGAGACCATTGCTTAGCCAATTAATCATGCCTGTACGCAGCGAGGGCTAGGGTACGTCGCCGCCCCCGCAAATACAACAAAGCAAAGAAAATGCAATACATTTTCAATAATTCATTGCATTTTGCCCCGACCCCCAAAATTAAAAAAGTCCTCCATGTGGGCATGCCTTGAACCATAATGCATGGCCCTACAGAGAATTTTTTTTCTCTCTTGGGGATCGGGTGAAAATGCAATGAATTATTGATAATGTATTGCATTTTCTTCGTTTTGTGGTATTTGTGGGGGCGGCGAGGTACCCTAGCCCCAGCGGCGTACAGTCATGATTTATTGGCAAAGCAATGGCCTCGTTACTGTGAGGCCCCAGAATAAAAACCATGTCGATCAGCTATATATGTGCCCTTTTGTGAGGCATTTATTCTCATTACCGTCAGTTATGACGTAAGGACGTAGGTCCCCTAGTTAATTAGCATAGTAGCACACACATACTTTAGCAGTCACGCAAAACAAACAAACAAGGGCACTAGCGCATCGACTTGGTTTCGAACCCAAAAAATATTGACGCAAAAAATACGCTAATTTGACCGTTAGGTTCAATATTACCATCGACAACTGACCGGAAGAGAGATATGGCAATTAAAATCCTCACCATCGATATCATGTGGCAAGCTGTTGCCCATTGACGCCTTTTGTCTGTAAGAGCTATTTTTATTGTATTACTCGAACAAAAAGTGATTTGCGTTTTCCCGTCAGGCGCAAATAGTAAATTGCTTTCCTAAATATTGTATGTCGTATATTATTATTGAAAGATTTTTGCTTACCTGGAAACCCGATTTTTGATCGTATTCGAAACAATCACCATCAAGAGACCTATAATATTTGAATAAGAGAGTTGAAAGCGAAAAAAAAAAAAATGGGAATTGTTTTGGGGGATTCATCACATAACGTTGATATCGGACACGGCCTGCATGTGAGTAACGTATGATACTAAAAATGAAGAATTTCCTAGTGAGCTGAATATATGTATATATTGTAAAGAGATCATTAAGACTTTAAACAAATATAGCATGACAAACATTGGTAGATGTTGTGAGCAGTACCGTGGGAAATGCGAGTTGAAAGAAAATAACTGCCTAAAACGTGTAAATGTTTATACAACCGTATTGTCAGTATGGGATGCAAATAAGTAAAGACATAAGAAAAAGATGATAGTGATACCCCAAGACCCCCACAACACTCCAACTCCCGCGACAAGCCCTCGAGCTGGCTAGGGCGGAATATAGAGTATTCCCATGGGAAATTATCGCACGAACTTTTTGATAGTATTTACTGATCTTAAATTAATAGTTCGTAATTCGTTCAAAGATCTGAACATACTCAATATAATTTGATGAAACAAAAGCACATAAAAACAATCCTATTATTCGCCTTTTATAGTTTGCATTTAGATTTTCTGTTTAACTTTGTCTCCTTTAATTTCATTGATAAATGTATGAACATCTACTCAAACTCACTGAAAATGCAGACTGTCCAATGCTTTCAAATATGATGACGACTCGACAAGTTCAACCAAGTCTTCTGCGTCCAAGCACTTCATCCCGGACAGACAAAGCCGCTGCAGGTCCTTGGTTTGTTCTCTGATCAGACGACCCAGTCCTCTCACCGACTCTCTAGAAACAACAATGTTCTCATCTGATTGGAGTGATGACGGTGCTGTAAGGTTGATGCGTGTGAGCTTCTGTCCTCCGGTCCGACGAAGACCAGCCGTGATCTGAGGTATGTCTCTCTCTGCATCATCGATAGTGATATCGATATGTGTCAAGCCAGGGAGCGATGAGAGCAGACCTTCATAGCTTTGTGACGTCACTCTCTCAGCTGACAGCTTTGTGACGGACTCAAGCTCAGGGGGAGATGGATAGAAACTGAGAGAGGATTCTGATATGGTGAGAGTACGTAGCTCCGAAAAAGATTCCAGGCATGACCATAGTCCACTCGTCACGTCGGTAGTTAAAGTAGACCCCTCGAACTTTATAGTCCTAACCTATTGTAATCATAAAAAGTTAGGGAGATTTAAAAGGCTTATACGAATTAAATAACATTCATTAGTTGATCTCTTTTTCTCTAAATGAATAGACCCTACGAACTTTGTATTTTGTTACTATTTTGTTTCTAATTATTGTTCTTGTTTCTGTTATGCAGTACCTTGATTGAGGCCGTCGTTGGGCAAACATGGACTGATAATGACTATGTATCGTACGTATTGATCGTTGTATCATGCAGTAAGATTTATCACGATGCGGTTAATTATGAATAAGAATACATTTACACAAAATATATTAGCCATTTGACTCATAGTAGCAGCAGGGAAATGAAGATGTAAACAATCTTTATGAAATCTTTAATGTAAACATATTGTGTGAAATGAAAATGTGCATACCTGACGTTTAAGTTGCTTTGGAAGATTTTGCATCCCAACTACGGTGTAGACAGTCGGTGACTTCAGAACAATCCTCTCTGCATTGACACATCTTTGAACCAACGAAGATACATTTTGTTGAGTACCCTTGGTCTCTGATGAACAGTCAAGGAGAATGCGATAACGCTCGCTCTCATCCAAAAAGCTGTTTTTAAGGAGCGCTTTCATTATTCGTATACAGAGGCTGTTGTCCGTGCCAGCAGCGAATCGGATAAGATTCTCGTAGTCACCGATGTTTGCTTTGATCTCGGGCAGTACTCTGTCCAATTTGGAAATCTTCAAACGTAACATAAAGCGGTGTGTTTGATCAGCGAGGAATTTCCCAGCCGAGTGTTCTTGGGCGAGTTTGTGATAAAACTCAATGGTAGTGGAAGTGATCTCATTGGACTGAGGAAGTCGTGTAGATGTTACAGTCGTCTTGGATACTATCCCAAGCTCACATGCCCTATCAAGGGTTGCGGGAACTTTACGGAAATCACGAGGCGTGAAGACTAGTTTTTTAGCATCGTCTAGCAGACCAGTAAGGGCAGCTTCGCCTAATTGATAAATTATTTTCCTTAACTTGTTTGGTGTGATTTTTACTCTTGACTCTGATCGTGCGTTTGCATGGTGCATTAGAAAAACATTCACCCTGTCCAGCAATTCTGTTTGAGTTGTAGTATCACTGTTAAGTAGGCCCTCACTCCATAAGTGACAGATCATGAGACAAAATAGGGGTGTCTTGACAAGTTCATCAATAAGTGGTTCTTTTCCAAGATAATCCTTCAAATGTTGTCCATTACAAGGATTCGAGGTCGAAGCAAAGAACTTGTCGATGTACTCTCGTGAGATCTCTTGCGAGAATCCTTCGATCCACATCTTTGTGTATACCCTTGGAAGCTCCGCTTGATTGAAGAAGTTCTCTAGGTGAGGGCGCGTTGTTACAAGGACTCTACACTCTGGAAATTCCTCCCAGCGGATGACACTGACAATGTTGCTCCCTAAGCTCCGGTTTGAAGGAGAAATACCGGCATACTCATCTAGCCCGTCTAGTATGATGTGACATATTCCCTGATTCTCTCTAATGAAACTCTCCAGACCCTCTGGTGTGAGATCATCAACATCACTCAAAAGCTGGGTTTTGATAGCTTCTCCGATCGATGTAAGCTGACTTGTGTTTCGGAATTTCACAACAAACAGAAGTGGCAGGTGTTCTAATGCTGACCCCTTTTCTCTGTGAACCCAGTCGTTAGCCATCTTAGCAACAGCCGTGGTCTTTCCTCGTCCAGCAGGGGCCGAAATGAGGATTCGAGCTGGCAGTTCTCCATTTACTTTAGTTGAAAATATTTCAGCAATAGAATCCTTGAGCATTTCCTTCTTTTTCGTGTCTTGTCCACGGGCGTCCTTCGTCACCACTGTGACAACCAGGTGTATATCTTTGAACTCAGCAAAATCACTTTGATCCCACGGTTTCATTTGAATTTTGCACAATTGATTTCGGTACTTATTCTCCAACTTTTCGCGGCATCGCTGAACAGTCAATGATGGCGAGATCTTCTTACTGTAGATATCTGGAATGATACAAGCATATATAACACCAAATATATTATTGCAATCACATGATATATCACCCCTTCGCAAGTTTTTAGGGGGGATTTTTGTTTTGATTTGATTTTTTTAAATTCTGCATTTTTCCAAATATAATACCTGAATAACAAAAAAACATATAAACATATTTAGGTATAATACAAAATATACAAACAACAATAACTGCATGTCAAAATGTTTTTATTACATATAAATATATATTAACGAAATTTAATATTTGTATAACATATTATTATAAATGTAAAGTATTAACCGAACTATCTGTGGAATAAGTGCAGGAGACCGCAATCATACGCGATGCTTGACTAGGAAAAAAAAAATCTTAAAGTAAAATTTAAAATGATTTTTTTTTTTTAAACGATCTTTGTGTATGAGATTGTGAGTGTGTTGTGTGAGTGTATAATGTGTGTGTGTATGTGCATGTGCGCGCGAAATACATGGATTCCGACGATTTGCCTCTTTGCCATGAAGTAACACATCGAACGCTGCTGTTATCTTTGGTTAGACTAGTATAGATTAGTCAGGAAAACTTTCTCTCCAAATCGATATTGAAAATCTGTGGTTTATTTTTCCCTTTTTAATAAAGAACTTTTTCAAACAAAAATTGAGGGAGAGAGAGGCACGGGGTAAAGGAAAATGAAATAATATTACCATGTCATATACCATCTTCAAATTTGGTGCCAATTCCTCGTCAGTTCCCAGACCCTCGCTACCCAAGGGATAAATAGATGTTGCCTTAAATGTACGTTCTTAAAACAATTAACGGATGAAGGAAGTGATTGTTAGGACTCTAGCACTGATAGACCCACCTGGATCACTTAGTGTCCCCTTGAGATGTGTATCAGCAAGCATGACCAGCTTAGCGTCAATGAGAGCTTGTTTCAGTCTGAGATGCTGGTCGCAAGGCACGACGGTCTGTCTCCAGTCAAACAGCATAGCACGTGTTCCCTTACAAGTCACCCGTCCTTCTATCCTGTTGGTTTCTGTGTATCTATTGATGTCTGCGACCCTGAGTCCGAGTGTTCTTCCTAAGGCCTCCATCTGCTCACCCGTCTCGATGTCTTCAGCCAACTTGGAGAGAAGGTCATCGGCAATACTCCATGAGCCGCCATACCTTTGGGGGAAATGAACAAAAGTAAAGTTTAAGAAACTTATTATGAACAGCATAGCTTCTTTATAGTGGGACAATAAATAAATGTTGTATGTCAGCAGGGCTGCATTCATCATGGAAATGTAGCAATTATCTTTTATCAGTGTGTGTGCGGGGGATGGGGGCTTCGAAATGAAAAGAGTTTCTTTGTTGTGCTTTAGTAGAGAACTATGTCTTCAGCTAGTGATATGATAGATAGATAGATAGATAAGATAGAAACATGGATTTTATTAAGATCTTCGTGTCTGGCAGTTAAAAACTGAAATGAACATGAATTACAATACAAATTTCCAAAAAACATTCACATACTAATATGAGATACCAATAGGTCACTTCCGCAATGCACTCAAATGAAATCGAACGGAAATACCAACGAGCTTTCACACTCGCCCGCCGAGGGACACTGCACTCCAATAGCCAGAACGCGGACCGCATACATCAGCCGCCACTAGACCGGGCAAGCTATAATGCTCGTCCAGCCCAGCAACGACTAATGCACGCAATCCGCACCCCGACCACCAAAACACAATAGCCTCGGCAGGCGAACGCGATCATTCATCTCCAGGCACTCCACAAACACATGCATATAATCTGAATACATTAGAGAATGGTATCGATTAAAACATTAAAAACATAAATCTGAGGGTATTTTTTTATTTGGACAAAAAGTGTATAATTCAAACTAATTAGGGGATAAATACATCGTATTCTTCATTGCAATTTGCTGTATATTGCACAAATATTTCTTATTTCTTACTTCCAATAGAAAATATTAATATTAAGATATTAGATCGATTTCTTGCACAGATTCCATAATGCTGTGTAAAATCATGATATACAGACAATACATTATGTTTGCTTTTTAAAGCAAAGATTTGTGTTACTTGATCCAAACTTTGATACCTTACAACACGAAAGGTGATCTTTTCATTTAAATATACGCAGCAAATCTTATCACATTTTTGAAAAATTATATGCAAAGAGAATATGCAGTTGTTTTCATTTTTAGTTGACAGATTTACCGTTGTGTGCCTCCTTCGTGCACACAGAGAAATAAAAGGTGTTCTCGGGGAGTAAAACGAAATCGGAAAAATAGGGCTCCCCCTATTCCCCTTTTAGGAGTAAAACACAGAAATACGCAAGGGTGTACAGAATAGTCTTTTGAAGGGTGTAATTTTACACCCTATTTAAGTCAGACGAGTTCTGATTGGATTGCATATACGCATGGCGCATCGTGTCGATATAGTTACTGTCAAATGAGGAAACATTAGCATCATTTACATATTTTAGTCATGTTGGGGGAATTATCATGTTTCATTTGGGCATATTATTTGTGTGAAAGTTATCTGATCAAGAATAAGGAATGTGCCGAAGGTTATATTTGATAATTTAATGAAATTAGCAGAAGTGTTGTTTTACTAACTAGTACATAATTGCCTTCTTATGCGTGTAAGTAAAGGGAAGATATTCGGGAAGGCAGGATTGTGTGTTTATATATTTCAACTACATTTGATCCGATACCAGGCCAGCCTCACCGAGGCTAACTTTAAGTTCTTTCTTGCAGTCTGTACTTGAGTTGAGCTCACACTTACTGTTGTGTAACTCGAGATTTCTTTAGAGCAGTGACTGTTAGGTGATTACGAAGCATAGATGATTGATTGCTCGAGGGATGATTAATAGGTTGATGATGTGCATAAGAAGGGTGTAGATTTACTCCCCACAGGGTATGGAATCGATCATATAGGGTATAAAATTCAACCCCACGGGTGTAAAATTGAACCCATTTTTCATGAAAAAGAAACCAAAAGGTGTTAATTAAGCACTATTAGGTGCAAATTTCACTCCTTAAAGGGAGTAAAATCATAACCTTGGGGTGCAAATTTACACCTTCTTGTGGAATGTAAATTTACTCCGTACATTGGGCAGTAAATTTACTCACTGTGGGTGTCACTTATGCGACAAGCCTTTGCTCCCTATAGGGAGTAAATCTAAACCTCTTTTTCTCTGTGTGTGATTACAACGCGAAAAAGACTTACATATATCTTGATTTCATTGCCTTGCATTCATTACTCATTTTCCTGCGTCATCTTTGTTGTGTCATCTTGTTATTAGGTTATGTTCAAATCAATGAAAAAAAAGGCTCTTAGTACATATATTTCATCATCCCAATCCACGAATATCACATTTTTATTGGATCATCAAACAGATAGTCGGATCCATTCTTTTTTCCTCCCACTGTCTTTTTCATTTTCTCGCTTAGTCTGTATGTTTTTTCTGTGTGTGTGTGTGTGTGTGTGTATATGTGTCTGTCCGTCTCTCTTTCTCTATATATGTCATACATGTATATACATGTATGTAACTCATTCTTCGTTAAACGGAGAGTTTCAATCCAGAAGGTGCTACATTTTAGCGGGTATTTCATTATAAAGGACTTTTAAGTTATTATTGTATATAGAAAGGTATTACAACCTCTTCTACGTATATATCATAGGTATATTGCCTCATATAATGTTTCTCATCTTTAAACAAATCAATTAATACATTATATAATTTCAGAAATGTTCATGATTCTGATTTATGTAGATTAAGCTCCTTTATTAAGAATGAAGTTGCGTTTAACTGTTTACTGTTTGTTGATGTTTGTTTGGTTTTGAAGAAACAAAATCTTCTGGAAACAGCGCTTTTAGATGTTTCGTCTAAAAAAGAGCTTAATCTAAAAAGATCGTTGAAATAATATGATATTTTAAACTTACTTTCTTTAAAAAAAAAGTGATTGTTCACTCTATTTTCACTTTCTTGGGAGTGACGTCCGTGATCACTTGTTTAGGAGTGAAAATCGATTGATTTTAGAGTGCTCTCTAAGAAGAAAAGAGTGAATGTTCACTCTATTTTCACTACATTTTCACTCTCCAGAGGAGTGACGTCCGTGATCACTCGATTTATTTTAGAGAGTAAATGCAATTTTGCGCCGCACCGTATACATTAAAAATCATGAAACTTAAAGCTATGGTCACAAAGGTTCGTACAAACGATGCGTTCGTACGAATTCCAGAGTTCGTAGAGATTCGTAGATGTGGCAAAGATGCTTAAGTCCTTAATACGGCGTTCGTACGAACGCCGTTTAGATTTTCTTGTTTTTTCCTTAAGGATGCCTTGAGTTCTTCTTACGTCAGGCTTACGGCCATCTTACGAGTTGTTGTTCTCACAAGATGGTCATACGTGTAACTGACGGCATTCTCAAATCATTCGTTAGAAGATATCTTACAATTTGTTGTATATTTTATCGGGCTGCAAAAAAGCGCTGCATAAATTGCATAAATTGTGTACGTACACCTTACGAGCACCTTACGAACGCCTTACGCACGTCAAGAGTAGGTCGTACGAAGGCCATACGAATCTCCGTTCATTAGGAGTTATTAAGAACACCGTAAGAGCCCTCCACTATGAACAACTTAAGGCGTTCTTACGATCATCGTAAGAATTTGAGGCTTCTAGAATTGCCTTTCGACCCTACGAAATGTACGAAGATCGTGCGTTGTTCTTACGCTGTTATTACAACGCTCGTATAGCTGCCTTACGAAGAGGGGTTTTCTTACAAGGTTTAACAAAATCTTGGACAAGACCATCGACCAGTCTGCGAACTTCCGAACGGTCTACAAACGAATTACGAACGGTAGTTTCGTACGGCCTTCTTAAGATGATCTAACGAAATGGTCTGAAAATCGTTCGTACGGCGTTCGTACCAGTTCGTAATGGGATCTGTGACCGAGGCTTTTAGCAATAGGAAACGTGATTAAAATTAGTGAACAAATTCGTTATCGCCCCCAATGGAATCAACTCCGTTCGGAATAAAACGAGTTTGAATGTAGCCCCTTTGGAATGAAACGAAAATTTGTTATCGAAATGGACTAACTTTCAACATACATGTTTTTAATATGCAATACAAAGTGCAATTGCTTCCTATTGTGTTTGACGCGTATATTTATGAAGGAAAATCAATTACGGTCAAAAGTGTATTCATCACCTTTCGGAATATGCTCTCCATATACATATACATGTACATATCGGAGACAAATGAAGTTAGGGATCTACATACATTTCGAGATGTACTCACTTAAGTTGGATGTTGGATTCTGACCAGTGAAGTTGATGATTGTAGAATCTAGTGAAGATTGACCTGACAAAGCTGAGCAATGGGCTAATGTAGCTTTCTTTCAGCTTTCTTCATTAGTAACAGGTTCAGTATTTCGGCAGGTTTATTGGCAACCGGACATACAATCTTGGCTGAGATTGATGACACACAAAAAGGACTTTACCAGGCCTATTTTTAAAGTAAAGTATGAAACGTAAACATGTGCAGAAATGTTGATAAATAGTAGTCCTTTATAATGATTTCCTCTTCATGAAATGAGAATAATACAAAATTGTGTCAGTGCAAGAATGTGTTCCTTCGCAGGTAAGATGGACGTATTTCTTCGATCTTCGGAAGACCTGTTAACCGCTCATGAAGAAGACTTTATGCGGCACTGATAGTTGCTAAATTCGCTGTGCTAGATATTAACACCAGACAGTTAATTTTCAACGCCCAATAAAACATCTACATGGTATTATGCAAATGATATCGCTTCAAGCAACCAATCAGACTGATTGACGCGTTTCCTTTATAGCCAGTTTTGCACACGGTTTTAGGTCACATGGCACCAGGGCAATATAACTACCCTTGATGTGAATGTAAACGAATATAATTATAATTGTGTAGGTGTCGTGGTATAGTGCAAACGCCGTCTGACTGTGAATCACTTGGTTCGCGATTCGAGTCCCACCGCGGCGCTTTTGACCTTCATTTGCCTCTCTCCACCCATGTGTTGAATAAGTACCGGAAGGAAGGGATTCATTAAATTCAGTAAGCACTGAAATCGATAGCCTAGCAGGATTTGTATTGGGGCGCCTTGAACTCCCTGAGTGGTGGATATGTGTCATACAAAACTATCCATTATTGTTAGGCTATTAAGTCTTTAACAAACTTAAAAAACACATTATACTGGATATTTATGTATACTTTCCATTTCATAACTTTAAACCATGTAAAATGTTTTATATTATTGAATGTTTATTGCATATCTGATTCCTTGTCAAAATTACTGTTCTGTTGGAAATGATAAATAAAACTGAACTGAACTGAGGAGGGAAAAATAAAATCAGTGGGGCCTCTAATTCACCACCTTTAAGGCTTCAGTTTGCGCACAGGATGAGTTGCTTCAAAGTAATGATAATTGAATAGTACATAACGTATAAACAACTGATGTTGTCCTCTTCATAATTATGTAGATTGTAGTGTGACATCTTGAAATGTATACTTGCCTTTTTCCAGCAATTTACTCATGTGCAATTCAGTTACTTTTTATTATGATATCACTTGAAATGTATAATTGTCTTCACCATCAATGTTTTATTCATGCACAATTCAGTTACTGCGATACATGGAAATGAATCAATAAATACCATTTATCTATCTATCTATCTATCTATAATACTATATGAACTAAAACCCAGTCTGACGCGTACGACGTTCTGTAAACGGCTCAAACTGGTGTAAGCTGTGAAAATAAACTTTAACAAGGGTCGTTGGAATCATAATTTTATAGCCGAATTCAAGAGAGTCTGGATGCTTGCATTGAAATCTCCCCATTCGCCAAATGCGATGTAACTTGCTCGAGTTTAGAAAGTATGAAAGTTCCCAAAAGCCCACTCCCTATTACGAAGAGAGAGAGAGACATACAGCAGCCTATGCATGAGGAAGTAATACTACACAGCGTCAGCAAGTCTAGTTGAACATCGGATACAGTTCATGAAATACAATTATTATACCAGTTCCTCCCTGGGCAATGACCCACATTTCAACTATGATCAATATGCTTCAAGAGGGAGGGGTCCTGGTTTGCGTTACCGGGGGAGGGGAGGGGCATCACCCCCAAATATGGCTTAAAGATGAAGTTGAGTTCTGGTCATGCGATTGCATTGTGAAAGAAACGGTGTGGAATCAACCAGAAAAGGTTGATCATCTAGCATCTTAGTATTCGTGTGTATTGCAAGGTTCTGGATTCATCAACATGATAAGAAATTTGGCCAAGTCTTGGTAAAGTTACAAACACTGTACACAGAAAGATGTACATGGGACTACACGAACACGTGGCGTTAAAATCCGTTCTGATTTTTACGATGTTACATGACATATTTAGAATATGAAGGCATTTGAAGAGCCATGCTTTTCAGGGAACATGTGTAATCTGATGTTCTTTCACACTTGCATAATAACAATGATAACGCTCACAAATTATTTGTTACCTCTTTCCCAGAACTCATCCTTCTCTTTAACCCTAATAAGGCCGGGGAGGGGCCATTATGCCCCCCCCCCTCCACGATTTTTCTGATTGTTCGAGAACGCATATGGATGGCGCATTGCCGCTAGCTGACTTTTTTCTTTAAAGTCTTGCGCATCTTTAAAAAAAAATAACAATAAAAAATTGGACCTACAGTTACAAGGTCACGTGACCTATTGTCTTTCCATGTCAGCCCGAAAATCGCTCATTTTTGTGATTTGTGTACAAAACATATGGAAATGTCATTTTTCCTAAAAATAGATCAAACATTGGTTATTGGGTCTTGTTAAAAGTTTAGGTGGTTGCTTTGGGAGTTAAAATAGATGAATTGTAGGAAGAAATGATCTTAGGGGGGGGGGCATAATGCCCCCCCCCCCCCGGGCCATAGTAAGACTTCAAATAGCCCGGCCTTATTAGGGTTAACGGTTGGCTGTACTAGTTCAGCCAGAAGGGATCAGACCAGCCATGCAGCTAGACAGCAAGGTCATTGTGACAGGTGGCTATCTCATTAAATCAGCTCTCAATTAACATAAGGAAAAGAGGATCATGGTGGACCAACAGGCACCGATTGGGGAAGTTTTCTATATAAAAGAGGGACCAAGTAGCTACAAGTAAGACAGTGTGGCTTTAAGTGAGGTTAGTCAGTTGACCAATATCATGCTCGGCTTCACGTCATGCGTTTCTTCGCTTTAAAGCTTATCTGTACAAGTTTATAGGAGGGATTAGACCGCCCTGCAAGGTCACTGGACAGGTTGTTATCTCATCAACTCAGCTCTCAATTAACATTAAAAAAGAGGATCATGGGGGACCAATGGTCACCGATTAGGTATTGTTTTCTATATAGAGGGAGCAAGTAGCTACAAGTAGGACAGCGTGGCTTTAATACAGTGATTCGTTACCTGCGTGCTACCAGGCTTTTTCCTGGTCGGAAACTTGTCACGAGGGGTGAATTGGCCCCTTGCCCCTCCTAAATATATACATCTCCAACTCCTGCTGATCCCGGAAATGAGTAAGGAAATACAGTGCATCAAAATTGAAATGAAAGTGAATTCTTATTTTTTGGGTCTTATCTGAAGATATATCTGCCATGAGGAAGGATGTCAATCACAGACGAGGATGAACTATAAGCTTCTAATTTCCAATATTTCACCTGATGTAAAGAGTATTTTCATAAATCCTTTTTTTTTCTTTTATAGCTTTTCCTTTTTTCTCTTTTTTTTTCTTGGTAATCAGGAAAAATTTTGTGGTTAAATCCTGATATTATCTATCATGGAGACCCAGTTCTGTGTTTGTTGTTCATGTGTTCTCAGTGTATGCATGAGTCTTTGAATTGTGTTATTATATAGTTTTTGGTAGTATTTATGATAGGTTGAAGTATAGGACTGTAACATCATTTTGCAATCTGTGTTTTGATTATATTAATGTTACATAAAAGGCTGAATGAATGAATAAACAAATATTAAAATAATTACGTGTAATAATTCAATATCATTGTTATCATTTTATTGACCTTCTAATTCGAAACGAATCAAATTAATTAAAAAAAGATCAGTGAATGGGGTGGGGTAGATAGATGAGACGGGAGTCATGAATATGAAGGCTGAATATTTTGTTTGTTGCTGATGTGTTCTCAGTGTATGCATGAGTCTTTGAATTGTGCTATTACATAGTTTTTGTGGTATTTATGATAGGTTAAAGTATAGGACTGTAACATCGTTAATGTCCTATTGGAGATGCTTTCCTCAGTTAGAGTATAGACCTTTAAGAAAAGAAATATGTAAAATAATTTACAAAAGGAATACTAG